GCCTGCTTTGTTAGCTTCTGAGCCCGATGCCACGTGTTTACTGGGAAATGTAGTCCCAGGTCCAATTCCCAGTTTGTCATATAGGAGGGTTTTGTTGCCGTGTATTGTGTAAGAAGTGTATTGTAGCAGAGGGCTAGTGCTTTCTCTTTGGGAAGCTTCCCCGTACATTTATGTACAAATGGTGATATGAGATTAGACTCTTTCAAGATAATCCTGCTTTCCTGTAAGATATTCTTTAGTCTCAGATAGGTGAATAGTTCCCTGGGTGGAATATGAAAATCCCTGACCAAGTCAGGGAATGGTTTGATACCTTCTTGGGTCAACAAGGAACGTACCCCAGAGATCCCCGGCTAAGCCAGTTTCCTAGCTGCAGGCTCGACGTATGGGCAGTCAAGGCCTGAAGTGGTGCTTCAAGGAGTAGGTCATTCTCCTTGAGGAATCGAGGGGTAGTTTGCCTCCAAGTCTGGAGCAATGTCCCCGTGGTTGGTAACAGGTTTTTGGGTTGTAAAGGTGTTGTGCTTGCCCAGAGGAGCATTGGAATCGTGCCGGTGGACAGGCATGCGTTTTCCAGCGCCAGCCAAACCGGAGGGGACTTCCTTTCAAGGATCGTGATGCCTTGTGCCAATATTGAAGCTTTGTGATATAGTTTTATGTTGGGAATGCCCAGCCCGCCTTTTGTGAATGATCGCCAAAGTGAGTTTTGTGCTATTCGTGGGGGTTTGCGCTTCCAAATGTGTGCATTAATCTTGGCCTGAAAGTTCCTCAGTATCGAGTTCGGGATAGTAATGGGCAGGGTGCGAAAGAGATATAGAATATGTGGTAAAATCATCATTTTTACGGTGTGAATGCGGCCAAGCCAGGAGATTTCTTTGTCCTCCCAAGACTTGAGCTGTTGATCTAGTCTATGTAAGAGCGGTGTGTGGTTTTCCCGTATTGTCAGTGTGTGTAAAGCTGGCATTTTTATGCCCAGGTACGAGATGGAGGATTTCTTCCAGTCAAATGGGTACAGTGTTTTAAGGTGTGAGAGAAGGGTGTGGGGCAGCCCTAGCGCCAACGCTTGTGTTTTTTTGGCATTATTTTTGTAATAAGACAATTTTCCATACCTTCCTAGGAGTGATAGCAAGTTTGATAGAGATGCCTCCGGGTGTGTTATGAAAAGGAGAACATCGTCTGCGAAAAGGGCTATTTTTTGCTCCCCTATTGGCGTTGGGAGGCCCACAATATTTTGGTCAGATTTAATATGTCTGATTAGGGGTTCCATACATAGGATAAAAATTAGAGGAGAGAGCGGGCACCCCTGTCGGGTACCGTTCGTTATATGAAAAGGTTGTGACAAGAATCCGGAATTGAATATTTTGGCTGACGGTTTGGAGTATAGGACCATTATGCATTTCAGGAATTCTGGTGGGAAGCCCATGTGCGTCAATACAGATCGCATATATGTCCAGTTCAAGCGATCAAACGCTTTTTCCGCGTCTAGGGCTAATAGCAAGCCCTTCTGGTTAGTGTTTTGGGCCCAAGTAATTAAGTTTAAAAAGTGGCGCGTGTTGTCCCCGGGTTGCCTATTCGGAACAAAGCCTGCCTGTTCCGGGGAGACCAGATCCTGTAACATGGGTTGGATGCGTGTGGCTAGTAGTTTGGCATATAGTTTTGTGTCAGCATTCAGCAACGAAATAGGCCGTAAATTGGCGCATTCCGTAGGGGGTTTGCCTGGCTTAGGGAGTGTAACAATATGGGCTAGCAACATCTCTTCCGGCATGGAACCTGAGTCCCCAAAGGAGTTGAAGAGGTCCGTGAGGTGTGGTGTGAGTTGCGCTTCGAATATTTGATAAAAGCGGTTGGGAAATCCATCTGGACCCGGGGCTTTGTGTTTGGGTAATTTAAGTATAGCTTGGCGCACTTCATCTTCTGTGAACTTAGCTATCAGTGTCTGTTTTTGTTGTATAGACAGGTGTGGCAAATTTGCCTCGCCCAGAAAGGTATCTATGTCAGCTGTTATTGGTTGGTGAAGTGATTTATCTTGTGTAAGGTTATATAGGCCTTTGTAGAAGTTTGCTAATTCGTCCACTATGTCCTGCGGGTTAAATAGTTTTGTACCCGTGGCCGTAGTCATGTATGGGAGTTTTGTTTGTATATAACGCGATTTTAGACGGTTTGCTAGCACCTTGCCTGCCTTATTCCCATGCATGTAGTAAGCAAATTTCAGTTTGCGTAGTTGCCTTTCCATAGTGGTTAGAGACAATGCATGTATCTTCCCTCTTGTCTGTTCAATCTGTTGGGACAGTGATCTAGATGGTCTTACTTTATTAGCCCTTTCTAATGTCTGGAGCAGTGTAGTTAGTGTATCATTTTCGTTATAAGCTTTCTTTTTGCGTATTGACCCCGCTTGTATTAAGAGACCTCTGAGTACAGCCTTGAGGGCCAACCATTTGGTGCCTACACTGGAAGGGTCTGTCTGATGATTTTCATAAAACGTATTTATATTCCTGCGTATTTTGGTGGCCGTGTCAGTGTCATCTATGAGGGAATCGTTCAGACGCCACGCACTCCGTCCTCTAGCTGGGTATAAGGCCCTAAACGTGGTGGTTATTGGCGCATGGTCAGACCAAGTTCTGTCACCTATTTGTGCTTCTATAACATTTGGGATTGTGCTTTTGTCTACCCAGCACATGTCTATGCGCGAGTAAGTGTGGTGTACCTGTGAAAAGTAGGTGTAATTATTCTCGGTCGGGTAGAGTGAGCGCCATGTGTCATAGAGGTCGTTCTTGTGGAGCAATTTGCTGAGATTGAGGCTCATAATACTAGCTTGCTGGAGCGGTTGTTTTCCTTCTATACGCTTGATGTCTAAATTGGGGTCCAGCGTGCAGTTTAGATCCCCACAAATTATGGTGTGACCCACCCGGAGGCTGGATATTTTGTGTAACGCACGTTTTATGAATGCAGTTTGTGAGTTATTGGGTGCGTATATGGATGCTATCGTCAATTGCATGCCATTCATTGAGCCCACCACAACGAGGAGTCTGCCTAGCTCGTCTCTGTATGTATTGGTGAGTTGGAACACCCAGTCTGCGTGGAACAGTATTGCCACCCCTTTAGTTTTGGTTGGGGAAAGAGCATGATACACTTGATGGTATTTAGAAGATGTTAGAGTGGGGGGATTGGTCTTACACATATGTGTTTCTTGGAGACACACTATAGCTGCCTGTGATTTGTGCATTGCCCTGATCACTGAGCTTCTTTTAAAGGGACTATTTAGGCCATTTACGTTCATGGAAAAGCATTTAAATTGGTAAGCCATTAATAGTATGTGGGATGTTGCATTCTCTCATCGTGATACGTAGTTCGTATAAGTGCTGACCTCTCAAACGAGTATATTCTACTGGGTACCTGAGTGTGCCGTAATGGTTGCTGGATTTTTGTGTATGCAAAATTTATCTCTGCTGCCATAGTATTGGATAGGGGGGTGGCAGGTATAAAACAGGGGAAACGGAAAACTAATAACATAAGTATATACAATGACTCTCGACCTTGAGAGTTTACATTGGAGTACAATATGGAGCCATCGTGCTCCACCATTGTAAGTCCTTTAGGGGGGTCGTGCGGAACTGTACCGCACCCGGGCCAGACTTGACACATGTCTGCTCTGTTGCCTGCAATCATTATGGGGATTTGGGAGCCAGGACAACAATTCCATTATCGTCCGCTGTAGGACTGGAAGGCATTGTTGCGAAAGGGGACTAAGATATATGGGTCGCAGCTTCAGGGACTGTGTGCTTTTTTTTTTTTTTTTTCCTTATCCATTCGGTTGTTTTCGTTAACCTCTCAATAGTTTTAATAATCCTTAGCTATAGCATATCGGGATCGCTCGAACCCACTCCCAGCCTGTGTAGGACGCTTCCCCTGCCTGTGGTGTGTGCGTTATTGTCAAGTGGATCTGTTTTTAGATGTCAGTGCTATACAATGGTGACCCAGCTAGCGTAGTATAGATATCTGGATCGTAGTTAACCGGTACTTTGCCCTCCCATTGTGGGGTACCTTCCCATACACAACATCAACACCAATCCGCCCCTATTGGGAATATCACATTGTGTGCTAAACACATTTTACAACCAGCGGAGTTCTTAGGCAGGCCAATGCGTTCAGCCCCAAATATTACCCTCCAAGCAGTACGCATAACAATTAGCTTTGCATAGGATAGCGCTTAACATTGTGGGGACTCGCGTCAGCGACTACACGGGTCTATGTGATGTTCATAGGCTTTAAATCGGATAAGGCTCAGTAGAATGAGGGAGAGTAGTAAGTTGGTCTCTAGTGCCGTGGCATTATTACTGTTGTTATATATATGTATATATTTTTTTTTTTTTTTTTAATTTATAATGTGAACATCTTAATGCTGAAATTAGTTGCACTGACGCGAGCCCCCATATAAATACCACTGTCGGTCGTCGGTGTCTCCGACTCCTTCCAGTGCCTCAAGACATGGGAATGGCTGGAGCGTGGATCCCATAGAGAACAGTTTCTAGATAGTGTCCTGAACGACTGCTGCACCCTCAGTTAGTCTGTCTTCCTTTAGCGGTGTAAGGCATTGTTGTGAATGTAGTTCCCTGGCTTGATGACACTATGTGGATCGCTGGTGAAGGGGTTCTCCCACCATCTTCCATTCGGGACGGGTCTTCTTCATTGAGGTCCCTGCAGTCGCCGTCGGATGGTCTATCTCCGGTGTGTTCCATAGGCCCCAGCTTTTCAGCGCGGACATACCCTCTGATGGGTCAACTATAGTGTGAAGCTTGTTGTTCCGCCATATTAACAGTTTAGTGGGGAAACCCCATCTATAAGCCTGATCATGATTTCGCAGAGTCTTGGTTATGGTTGAGAACTCTCTTCGCCTGGCCATAGTTAGAGCTGAGAGTTCGGCATAGATTGAGACCGAGCTATATGGTTCGGGTAGCGTTGGCTTAGTTCTGGCTGCTTTTAAGAGTGCCTCTTTGGCCTTGTAGTAATGAAAGCGCACAATAATGTCGCGCGGAACTTCTGCCCCCAACCTAGGTGGCTTGGGTAGGCGGTGGGCCCTGTCCACTTCCCAGGAGAGTGCGGGATCGGGGACCAACGCAGCACTTATTGCTTTTATGTAGGCTGGAATCTGGTCTGCTGTGGTGGATTCCGCCACCCCCCGAAATCTTACATTATTCCGGCGGGAACGATCCTCCATGTCCGCCATCTTGTGCCACAGTTTAGTATTATCGTCTTCTAGTTTCTTTAATTTGTCTGCCAATTCATTGTGTGCTGAGCACAGGTCTTCTGTCCTCCGTTCAACCTGATCTGTGCGGTCTCCCAATTCTTCTAGTTCCTGGTGTAAACCAGATATGGCAGTCGTGAAGTCTTCTTTTATTGTGGCTCTCAGCTCCATGAGCATTGATTTGAGGAAATCCTTTGAGATTTGGCAATCCTCTGTAGAATGGTGTGGGGACCCCTCATTAAGGGCATCAGGCTCTGGGGATTGCGCTCTGCTACCGGCGCCATCTTGGGCCTGTTTCTGCCGCTCTTTTTTGTTTTGGCGGACCGCATCCGTAAGTTTAGTTTGCTTTGAGGGTGACATGGGGTCACTCCTACACTGCCCCTTTAGTTTGTGGCTCGGTTTTCAGTCTTAATAATAGCTTTTTTAGCCCGGGTGGAGCGGAGCTCCTAATCCGTGCGTCCGATCGTGCCGGAAGTTGGACACGCCCCCACTATTTTAGAATTTTATTCATCTATATACTGTGCCATTGGAGTCCTGTTCTTGTCTTTCTTCTTTTTACAAATGCTCCACTGAATTCCAAGCATACAACCGTGAAGATTTACTTCATTCTACATCCCAAGAATCCTTTTCCACACGTGGAACCTATTATTTTGGACTTATGATAAGTTATTTGGACTACTTCTAACTATTCATTTTATATTAAATTTCAATATTTTATTACATATAACTCAATCTATATTTTATTATATATTTTAGGCGCACCCTCATTTTATTGTGTTTTATTCTAAATATATAACTCAAGAATGTTTCCAACTAGAACTTTGTTAATAGCAGTGACTTCCAATTAAATGGGGAACAATGTCATGATAACCTTCAAAGCCTTAAAAAGTCAAGACCACAATTCCTGAAAGAGCTCCTTACACCGTATATTCCATCCTGCTCACGTCGGTCAGCCAATGAATCCCTCCTATCGGATCCCAGAATAAAGACAAACTCAGGTTCCCGGTCATTCAGCCAAGCTGCCCCCACATTCTGGAACTCCTTACCTTGCTCAAACAGATATTTTTAAAAGACCCACCATTTTTCTCATAATACAGGTTAACAAACAGCACACACAAAAATACATTTTTTACATTTATAAAGCTACTTAAAATCACCTCTCTCAGCAAATATGCCCATATTTTGTTAAGCCCACCACTACTCCTCAGTACCCCAATATCTGTGCGTAATATACGAACTCCAGCGTGGGAGGCAAATCAAATAGTACTAGAGCTAAATAAGCTAAAGTGTATTTTAAAAATCTGTGGTAAGAGCAATATCTAATGCAAAATTAATAAGAAAAAAACAACAAACAAAACAAAAAAAAAACTATTTAAATTTGTTTTTTGAAAACTAAACATTTAAAGTGATAGTGCTTTGATGTATATACTCAATGCATATCTGTTCTATGAAAATTATAATAAAAGTGACATTACAATCCAAAGCCTCCTCAAATATATACCTTCTTGTGGTCACCTCCAAAGGGGCCTCTGATACATTTTTTGATTTTATAAAATGTATTTCTTAATACATAGTCATTATTCCTGAAATCTGTCATAATCTCCCAAGTACTGAGGAATTTTTCTCTTTATCTGCAATGTTTGCTATGATAATGCGTATGCTATGTTTGACCATTCTTCTCACTCCTTGACGTTTCTCCTTTAAAGATACGGATCTCTTCAGCAATATCAGCTTACAGTTCATATGTATCAGGGATTACCTGAGTTGGAGTCTGTAGCGCAAATATATGTGCTCACCCTTGCAAGTAAACACAGGCCAAGGTGGTCAGGTAAGAATTCACCTGGCCTGTGAGTCGGTGCACGGGGGCTGTGCAGGATGATGCGCCAAGTCGCAGTGCAGATACGGACATAAACAGGAGAATAGTCGTTGGTAAGCCAAAGGTCAGTGGGTGCCAGAAATCAGGATAAACCAGTAGAGAGCCGAGGTCAGAGGATGCCAGAAGTCAGGGTACACAAAATAACAAGCCAAAGTCAGGAATCAACAGGAAAACACTGGAACACGAAACAGCAATACTTGAACCAGAGTCAGGGAGAGGCAGTGTCTTATACCTGGCTAATCAGTGATCAGCCACAGGTGAACCATGAGTGACAGGAGCAGTCTCAGATAACGTCCAGCACCTAGTGCTGGATACAAGGCAAGAGTTGACTTTTGGATATTTCCTGAGCTGTATGGTGGCTCAGATGCAAAACAGCAACCCCAGCACTGCAATGTACCCAGGTTCAACTCCCTCATCGGGCACTTCTGGGTTGATCTAGTCTGGATGTTGCGGTGAGAACTGTGACAATATGGCATCTTACTCTTTTGGTTGTAATCATCTTCATCTTGTAATAGTCAGTTTGCCTTTTAGGCTTATTTACTAAGATGAGAATTCAGAGTAATTTTCAAATTTAAGGTCAGAGTAGCCAAACTGGAAGCATAAGTGACTTAGAGAACGTTTCCAATTTGAGTATTTTTAAAATTCACTTTGACTCCATTTTGAATTATCATGTTTGTGAATAACCCTGTTTGTTGATCAACAGCTTTCCATGATACAAATTTCACAAGCCTGTGTTTGAAAACCTTTCTGGTGTTATGATAATACATTAAATAAGAAGTAATGTTCTTGTCATATCCAACAAAGATCCCTCTCTCACATTTTGAATCTAACTTATTTATACACAAAACATTCCGACCCCCAAAAATCTTTATTTTAGGAAGGTTAGATCTTTTGCCCATTAACACATACCATGGAGTTTCTATGAGGCAGCTATTAAAGCACTTGATTTTGATCTGAGCAGCGGTCATTACAGTGCATGTCCATAGTTCCTTTGGCAACTTTCTTTCGATGAACAGACATTTTCCATTTCAAATAGTGTTCTTCAGGTTTTTTCAGCAGCACCATTTTGATAGCGTGAGTAACATGCTGAGGTCTTATGTCTGTTACCCTGCTTGTTTGGTAGTAACAAAAAATGCTCTTGAAGTCAGAACCACTGTCAACCAGCACTGCATCACTCCTATTTTACAGGAAGTTTACAAATACTGCTTCTGAATTGTCATCCACGAATGCCATGGCATATTTAGAAACCTTTTTTAGCTTGTGGTTCCATGGGACTTGCTAAATCAATATGCATCGGTTCTAGTATTGCAGTGGTTCTGGTGTCATTGCTTCTACTCTAAACAAATTTTCTTGAGTGAAAATTTCACAGTTAAGGTGAGACCTATCACTTTTAGCCTTAGTCTTTATTCCTTCTACAACATTCTGTAACTTTGTAATGTCATCGTAACTACAGTGACCTCGAATTTTGTGCCAAGTTTGAATATCATAACATGCATGACAGCAATCTTCATTTTCAGCAAAATTATTTAGCTAGTAAAGCTTATTGTATTTTTGGATTACAAACTTGTTCACTTCTACCTTGTTTAAAGCAAACTGACGGACCATTGTTTGGTTGCTGCCTCTACAGAGGAGATGTATTGAGGATATGAAGGTATATACACACACTTTCTTTAGGATTGCTAATGCTCGATTTCCTGTACTGTCAAGAAGGTCTCTGAATCACCTATCCTCAGTGCCACACCTGCTATATTTTACCATGTGCAAACTCTATTAAACATTTCTCTTTTTTAACCCCTTAAGGACCAAACTTCTGGAATAAAAGGGAATCATGACATGTCACACATGTCATGTGTCCTTAAGGGGTTAAAGGTGTTATCAAAACTTTTATACTTTTTGATGTCAGTAATTATGTGTTGCCTCTGGTCATCTCTGATCTTAAAGACATATGAGTGTCTGTTATCATTATCTTATGCTTACAATTATCTCTCTTATTGCATCTGCAGTCTGCATCTCTGAGTTGAGTTACTATAGTAATTACAGTAATCAGCAATCCATCACTTAACTTTTCTCCCACATTTCTTAATGCTGTAATGGCTGTCCCATGACCTATAACATAGCTTGTCAAACTTTCATTTGGAGCTTTCTGAATGGATGTTGGGTGTACAAACTATCAGAGCTTTCCCTTGTCTGCATAATATTCTCTTAATATTTGAAGCACTTTTGTCCATCATCAGCTGCCTCCCTCGTGATTAAAGACAGCCTTTAATCATCTAAGAATTGAATTAACTCAACATATGCTTCTTCATTCTTATGTGTATCTTCATCATCAGAATCATACAGGTCACTCAAGATGGTTTCTTTGAGAGTCATCAACTGCAGATGTTCCAAGAACTTTGTCTTTCATAACTCGTAGTTCTTCTTATCTCTGTCAAAGCAAAGCCTGCTCCATTAGTTTCCAGCATCCCTTTTGGGCTCATAACCTGTTTCAATCTGCATGCTGAGGGTAGGATAACAGACCAAGTGCACACAGTAATAGAGGAACAACAACACTCAAAACAGAAAAGCTAGGGCAATAACTTGCACCATGGACATGAATACTACTGAGAGCATCTTATGATTATTTAGCAACAACGAATCATTCTCAGTCATGAAAGTAGAACAGCAGAAGGAAAAAGAGAGTAGAGCCAAAAATTAAGTGAATTGCTGTCAAGATCCCCTAAAATAAAAGAAACAAGATAATACAAGTGCAAATAATAGAGATATCTAAGCTTCAGAGTTTCATAGGTTTACTGAAACAAAAAATATAGCTAGTGCTGATAATATAAAAAGAAGCCCCGCTAGGTGTGACGATAATTTGTGATGTCTGCTTGATCAGAATCTTGCGGTTGGTAAAAACTAAGCCTACATCTGTGCCTTCAAGGACACCTAATATATAAAAACTGAGCTGTAGATAATCAAATTTCCTATGACTGCACTGCCTGAACTCTTGCCTAGCCGGGCCACAAGAATCTTGCCTACCTTCTAACACCAAATAATCTGGTATTTATAGAAAATCTCAGGTAAGTATGATAACCAAGTAAAAGTATTGCTAAGGTGATAAGAGCAGTGGAGCCCAAACACGCGTTTCACTCTTGTAGAGCCACAGCTGACTGAGAAAGCTCTACAAGAGTGAAACATGTTTCGGCTTATCC